GCGCTCTTTGTTTTAACGGGCTTTGACTCTTCCTATCTGTGGAGGGCATTACTGATTTAGAAAATGCCGTCAAAAGAAATCAGGCTTTCTCATTCCGGGAGATAATGGGAAGGCCTCTGGACAGACTCTTTACCCGATTTGGCTCGCCCCCGGCCCTTGGGGGGGAATGGATCATTCGGCTGAAAAGTTGTCAAATGGAGATGTTCAAAACCGGCGTTTAAGCTCTATTATAATTTTACTTTATGATAATGGTCCATTGTATATGCAAATTCTTTAGCCTTCAGAAATGGCCTCGTGGCCATTACAGCAACCTATTGAATGTTTCTTAAATTGTCTGAAATCGGGAGTACTGGCCTCAGACCAGAGTCTAGAACGGATATTTCTGGAGGGATCACTAAACAAAATTTGTTGCACATTAGGATGAAATTATACTTTTAATATTTTCTGGGATGGAATGCAAATGTGTTTGTGGCATTTACCCCAGATTACTGTAGTTTGGAGGAGAAAATATATAGAAATATGCATTGATTGATATATAACATCACCTCGCAGAAACAAGTGGTATTATTGATGACGGTTTTGAATTTTCAGTTGACGTAAAAACCTGATTCTTCCCTAAAGACCTTTAGAGTTATGTGCGTTTGCAAAAAGAAGTTCAAGATTTTCTGTATTTTGCTGCCTTCTCTGAAAGGCTGGTGGGCTAAAAGCCTTGTGGGGATCTCAACAACTACAGGATTTGGCGTCCCTGCTCACATGTGCTCCTTGGTCTCTTGCTGTGGCACTGTATTTTCTTGTTCAGCATTTCCCTGGTAAGTAATCAAACTGACAACAGCAGACTGCCAGCAAGTTTGCTTTCTTTGATGACCATAGCTGGTTCTGAATAAGGGACAACAGAAGAAGGCTGTTTTAAACCACGGCTGACTTGGGCCATCAGCACGTAAGGGTTACATTTGGATCTGCTTGCTTTCCCCTTTCTCTTTCAGTTGATATTCCTTTGTCATGCTAGAATGAGGATTAAGTGGATGGTAGGAGTCAGTTTAACAGACACTTACAAGGCTTCTTTAAGACAAATAGCTAGAAAATGTCTAGGACATTTGCAGTGTAACGTTTTCCATGTTCCTGATGCGTTACTGTTACCTTGCAGACAGAGGTGTGATTTGCCCAGCAATCCGCATCTTCGGTCAAACCCGGGTTAGGGTTCCAAAATCAAATACCACATGAATGTAAAATGTATACAGACAAATGCCTGCAAGGTCATAATAATTTCATCCTTGTGTATATGTATACAAATCCATGGAAAACAGGATGTAATCCTGTCCAAATATGTCGATAATTATGCATATAAAACATTAAGAACCACAGAGCAAAAGTATATTGGTGACTTGAAGCTGAGATTATTTAAGAGTATATAGTGATAGTATATATCATTAAAAGGTACATAGTTGGAGAAAAAATCAGCCATGCTTGTCTTTCCTTGATTGATGCTAAGATAAGGTTTATGTAGATAATTATCTTGTCTGAATAATGGCTAGTTTTAGTGTCACATTTTATTTTTCCAGCAGATTAGGATTTATTAGGTGATGGAAATCCTATTAACAGGAAATGAGTCCAATTTGGCTTTGCAAAATACAGCATGGGCCAAGTCCAGACTTACAAGCATCATTTGTTAAATCATTCTGTAGCTTTGTAGTATAGGGGAGGGCAAGTTCTGAAGTTTGCAAGCATCCTTCTTTACATCTACGTATTAATTTTGTTCCTCAAACAAATCTTTATAATTACTTGGGGGTAGGCTAAAGAAAGATCCAGAATAACCATGTTGAAAGATTTTGTATGTGCTTTTAGCGTTTTAGTTTCTTCATAACAAAAGACAGATACGATACAGATGCGAGGAAGACGTGAACGCCATGGGACATCTGTGCGACGCTTTCCTTTCTTTTTGTCAGTGACGAAACCGGCATGGAAGTGACCTCTGAGGTTGGAGCTCTGCATTCCAGAAATGTTGCTCAGCTTAGCGCAGGCCACTGTTGGGAACCTGCTTGTTCACACGATGGTGGTGGGCATGCACTAAACACCCGTGTGGCTCTGGGATGCTGTTCAGACAAATTGAGCTGCTGCAGTAGATTTGCCTGATGAGTGATTGGATATTTGCTTTCATCAGCTCCTGATCAATAGCCACTATACTTAACCCTTCACAATATTAGAACCCTTCAGTGTTTGTGCAAAACCACTGCTACTTGGTTTTATCCACGACCTTTTTACTTAATCCAGTAAAATAAGATTAGTAAATTCTGCTGATTTAAAAGCGAATTTCTATGGGGGCAGAGCCTTACTTGCAATCCTGTGAAGCTGAGGTTGCACCATGCTTTAGCCCATGTTAAATGCAGCAGGTCTGATTGCTTTCCTTCCTAATGATGCTGCCTGGCAACTGTGGGCTTCAGAAGCATAGGGAAGTCAAGCTGCATCATCTGTTCTGTGGGAACATGATGCCATCTGACAGTATCTCACCCTCCCTCAGGGCTAGATGTCTCAGACTGCTTTATGCTGATGGAAGAGCAGAGCATGACTGGGGCCTGGACGGAGGCTGATGTCATTTTTATAAATCAGGATTAGTCCTTCGAGTCTTTTTGTAACTGGCATTACAGTATGGCCTTAGTATCATTCTACACAGATGAATAAATTGACAGCCAGGACTCTGTTTTCCTTAGGTTACTTATAAAAACATTCAGCCAGTCTTATGCTAATTCTGGAAGCAGCAGACTCTTGCTTCTGTAGTAGTACCGGTCAGTGAAGATTTGCTCCTGAATTCTGACGATAGTGTTGCTTATAATTATTTAAAATTGATAAGGAAGTAAGACACTGTGCTAGTTTATTTCTTTTTGTGAGATCTCAAAACTTAGGTACTGATATTGTCTTATTCATTCCCCTTCAGTTGATATTTTGGTAGGAGTTGTCCAGGGGACTCAAATTTACCAGAGGGTGGAGGGATCAAAACAGGGGGTATAAAGGAGTGAACCAGGGCCATTTTATACACATATGTGTATATATGGGGGGATAAGATACATGGACATCTAGGCTTTATTCAGTCTGTTGTTCACAGAACAATTTGGGGACATTTTCCTTGTTTTGAAGGCACAAAATTTGGCTTGCTAGGCTGGCAACAAAAGCATTCATTTAAAAACTTGCCAGAATGCAAACTATTTGTTTTGGCATTTTTATCTTGCATGTGAGCAGAGTGACATGCTGCAATTTTTTATGGCAAAAACACATCCATTCTGGGCACCCATCTACCGTGGATGTTAAAATTTCTAAGTATGACTGAGGCTATTTACTGTCATCCAGATTTGCATTTTTCCAAAAGGTTTCAAGCTTATTTTTGTATTTATTATGAAAAATCCCAGACAATTAGATTTCCACCTGGCTAAGTAAAACAAATGCAGTAGCTGCCAAGGACTATGACCTATGGCAGTGTGTGCTCTGCCAGTCACCTGCAACTTTGCAGTGACAGCAAGTGTACCACTCTGCCCCTGCAGCTGACTCTTACTGGTATCAAGCCTGACATGTACAGATGAAGAACCCTTTCTGTCCCAAACGAAATGGTAAACCCAAAGCCCGTTCATTGCAGAATGCTCTATTTGGACAACTTTATTTTTACATGGTCAAAGAAGAAAAAAATCTGATTCTTTCCTAGCATCTGAAATTTGATAATTCAGGCTATAATTTTCAAAGGGTAATACCTTTTCTTTGTATTTGCTCTGTTGAAACTTCTGGAAACACGGCAAGTTACCCTGACCAGAGTCCTCTGGGGAAAAAAAAGCAAGGTGTCTTTGACAGTGCAGTAAGGGTGGTGGAGGAGTGTGATGTCACCCATTTGATTTTTCTTGTAGTTGTTGCTTAGAAACATAGCAGTTAAGTAGCCTTAAGTTTAGAGTCCACTGCGATGTTTTGTTCTTCCTTAGCGGTTATGCTGGCTAAACTGTCTCTCTTAAAACAGAACTATCTAATATTTGTACTGAGAGATTCAGTGAATGCACTAGGCTCTTTTTTACTGAACACCCTAAAACACACTTATCAGTTGCAACGTAGTCCTGCTCACACTCAAGATGTTTAAACTTGTGCCATTACATTGTGTGTTTGTGGTTAGCTGTAGTTCGTAGAACTACAGGTAGGTCGTGCCTGAACAGAAACTGAACAGAAGCGGTCTGGCTTTATGTAAAATGGACTTGATTTTCCCAGTGTAAATTCTGATGTCAAGTGTTGTGTCTGCCGATAGTCTCGGTGCAGACTCCCTTTTGCTTCTGTTTTTTGCCTTTCGGTCCTAAAATGCCTTGTAAAGGTCCCATTAAGACACAAGTTTGGAGGAAGCACTGCTGTTGTTAGTATTATTATGAATAGGTGACTTCAAGACTCCAATATGGCACCCTTCAACAACACTAAATTTACTTAAACTCTCCCAAAGAAATCACAAACCCATCAACATCTTTCATAAATTAATTTGCTGTTGCAGGAAGGACTCAGGGCAATGTGCATGCTTTTAATATTACCAAGTTAAATCGACTTGGCTGCAGCTTTTTATTCACTGCAGAAAACATATTAATATTCTAATTAGGTACAGATTAGTTTCTTGATGGAATAATTTTGAGTAAGTAGAATATGTCAGGCACTGCAGCAAGATTACTGAGGTTCAAAGCACAGCACTTTGCATTTTGTTAATATGTAATTCTTACTGGCTTCTATGCAGTTGAAACAGTGTAATGCATTTATGTCAGCATTTGTGTTAGGGAATTTAGAAAGGCATTTCAGCAAGAAAACATACGTGTGGTTTGTTTTTTTTTAAATGGAACTACACTTTTTGAGCTACGCAATGTTTCTGGCCTGCTGCATAGTAAATAATTTTTCTGATTAATGTGTTGGTACTGTGAACATAAAAATCCTGGGAAAATGGTTTAATTGTGTGTATTTTAGAACTGCGATTGAAGTATCACATTTATCTTAACATTAAATTTCATGACCTATAACTTGCCACAAAACAATTAAACATTTTATTTTTGCTTTAACAGAATGATGTTGCTTTGTTTTCTGAGCAGAACACTGCAACTAGCAAGACATTCATCCAGTCCACTGGGGAGACAACTCTGTTCAGCCAGCGCAAATAAGCCAGTGTTGACTTTATTCACCAAGGTAAAAGTTGTTTACAGAATAAAGCTTTGATATGCATGAATCCCAGAGGAAATGGCTTGGCCATGTTTTTTTGTCCCCTTCAAATTTGTGTAGAATTTGGCATTTTACTTTGGGGGTGTCTTTTACACCAGGCTTTACAGCACAGTCCTACTCTCGTTGTAGCAAGCAACTAGTTACAACCAACAAATGAAGATTTTGAGATAGTTGTGTCTCAGTGACACTACGGTCCATTTACTAGTTGAAAATTGTTCTCTAACTGTCAGTGTTTCATACTGGAAGTGGAGAACAAAGACGAGTTGTTATACATAATCTGCCCAGGACAAGCATCAACAGCCAAAGTAGGCTCTTCAAAGCACTCGTGTTTAATTTCAGCACTATGTGTGAGACTGAAAATATATCCAACTAGTGTTGGTAGCGCACGAAGAAAAAGTAGATTGTGCTTTACCCTCTTTTTGCTTTAGTGGCTGTGTAACGCTAAGAGGAATAAAATGCAGGCAAAGGTTTGTCTGTGACATGAGCAGATAGGATTCTTAAGCATATTTAGAAAACAGATGTGATGGGCAGGAATGGTCATTTGTGAACTGTCACCTTCCATGAATTGTCATCAAGAGTCTGTGTTATCTGCAGAGGTCTTCTGCACTTTTAGATAGGATGGCACGCAGCGGGCTATGCTGCATTTATATGGTTGATGTAGCCTTCAAGAGGACAGTAACTAGAAATGCAAAGCGCTGAGAATGTTGACATCAGTATGGCGGTATTTGTTGGAGACGGATGCAATTAAAATAATTTCCTCCTCCTGCACAATGTTTGTTCATTCCATCCCTAGCCGTAAAGGAGTGTTTAAACTGTATAACACATGAATAGGTTAAAAAATAAAAGGTCATCATCTGTTTATTAATCAGAGCAATGCATACCATAAGAAGAACTCCTCTTTAAAGTTACAGCTTTCTCTCCCCCTGCCTGATTCAGCATCAACTCATTCATAATCCAAATGTGATAAGGTAGGGAACAATGAGCTTATCTTTGGGTTAATACGTGGAAAAAAGCTCTTTGTATGATTCTATGAAATTTCGAACTGTATGAAATCAAATTTTTTAATAGCAGAGTTCAAGTAGTTCTCTAAAGGGGCCTCTTGTTGAATGTATTTTTAACTTAAAATGTTTTTTCATGTCCGATACCACTGGCAATTGCAAAGCAAAATGCAGACTACTTTAAAATAAATCTAATCTGCACTCTTAGTTTATGCTAATTAACTCCTTTTCCCTCCTTCCTATTTTTAAGAATAAGGAGAAAAGAGGAGGAGAAGGCAGGAGGGAGCTATGACTTCTGCAGCCACTTTAAACTGATAGAAGCTAGCGCTGCCACATGGTTTTCCCCTCGTGGGTTCCTTTTATGCCAACACAAGCATTCATGCAACAGCTGCTCCAGGTTAAAAAAAAAACCCACTTTTTAAAAATTTTTTTGCAAGGTTACTATTAACTCAGGTCAATTCTCCTGTCTAGCTCTACCATGCAGCTGTTTTGAGTGCTTATGCCAGCACAAAAGAAGCAGTGATAGGAAGATGGGTCTGCTTCCTTCAGCATCAGTGCCAGCTTAAAATACTACAAAACTGCAGTCTAAGTATGCAGCATAAATGGCAATTATCTGTAGAAATAAAACTGTCCCTTCACCATATGTATTGTCTAACAGATCTAGCTATCAGTACAGCATATGTCACTTTGGGAAGGGATTTTTACTACCTCAGCAGTAGGAGTCCCTTTTGCCACTGTAATATACATCTGAGAGAAAAGGTTGTCCAAGGCAGCTTTATCCAGGCAGCCCTATTACAAATTAGCATAAAGCAAGTGATGACAGAGACCTACTGTTGCACTGTTCTACTGAAAAATATGTACTAATGTAAATGGACTGTTGAAACACATTTCACTGTTAGTTGAAATAGTTTGCTCTCTGATTTTAAACCAGTTCCAATCTTACTAGTACCACGTAGTGCTTAAGCTTGCCACCAGAGCAGGAGTAAAAACATATTCTTTGCTAAGAGTCAACTTAGTTTGTCAAATGCTTTTATGTGACTGTTATGTTAGAAAGCTCTCCACAGGCCTAGGGTAACCGAGTATGTCCTACTTTAACTGTAAGGAGCCTGGCATGTTACAAAACCGATGTGCAGGATTCTGGGATGTTCCTTTCAGTCACGAATATCAGGTATTATCAGTCCCTCCGAAAGCAACAAGAACTAGCAAGAGCACAGCACTGTTGATCTTTAGCATCTTGCATAGGTTTTCAGAGCACAAGGACTTGTCTGTGTGGGAAATACAATTTAGATTAGATGTGAATTAAAAATAGAGTATTTAATCCAAATTAATTCACACATAGGAAATAAGAAGTATCTGTTTCAGATTAACTCCATGTTTAAACAAGCCCTAGGAAGACTTTTAAGTGGGAGGGAGAGCAGAAGGTCTTTTCCAGCTGTGAGAGGTATTTCACAGCAGATGGACAGAGCCATCACCTTCACCACTGTATACTTTGCTATGTGAATTATAGGCCAAATTCTGCTATTACAAACACTGAAGCAACACGCCTTCATGTGAGTCACTTCTTCAGGTACGCACTGCTCTAATGGTCATGACACATGATCAGCAGAAGTCAGCTCTATAACTGTAGTGGAGAACCAGGGAGTTTTCAAAAATGAGAGGTTTTCTTTGACCCCATCACAGGTCAAAACACTGCAGCTGTTTGCCGGTTCTCCCTGCTGGAGGTTACTATCCTCCCAGCTCTGCAAGTTGGAGGATCATGCTTAATTCCCTTCAGGCAAAGTCAGCTAAGTTATCTTAAATCACCTTCTTTTGCTATTTGAACTGACCCAAGTGACTCAATCTGAAACAGATTAGAAGTTACTCATGTGACTTCCTCATTCCCCTTCTATCAAGGGAAATTCTTCTATCAAGAGTGGTACCCGCAGTTGTTTTCAGCTGGTGATGGCTGTACTTTGAAGATTCATTGCTGCTCACCAAAAGAAGGGGTCTGTGCATGACCTTCCAAACCATGCCCTTGAATCAGCCTTTAGAAGAGCTGTTGAAAACTGTTAATTTGCACCATGAGAAAAATAATAGCAAATGAGAAATAATTAAATTCTGTGGCTGAATAGTTTATTTTCTTGTCATCCGTGCTGCACTGATAAAGTAAAGATTTAGAAAGCAGTAGGACAGGGTGGTATGGGGGCAGGAACCCACACTTACAGTAATGATCACTGCTGTCTGTGTCTGTTACTTTACAGTACAAATTATTTGTGTGTTTTACTGTATGCTTTAAGGTGGTCTGAATATTTTCCTTTAGAAACCATGCCCTCTGTGTGATGAAGCAAAAGAAGTGCTTGAGCCATATAAGAAAAGGGTAATGTATTGCAATACTGTACACATTTTCTATATAGAAAGAACAGTTAATCAGGATTCTTTCTTTGTAAAAGGAAATTGCTTGGATTTATCTGCATCCGTTATGCTTTCATGGGTGACCTCTTCAAGACAATTTCAGCACTGATTTCCATAAAACTCATTATCCAAAAGCATTTTGCAACAATGCTACTCAAATAAGTATTGGCAAACTAAACCAATATACACCTTGTCGCAATAGTTTTTAAAACCACTGCTTTTGCAAGACTTGCCTTCTCTGGTAGAGGAGTTTGCAACTTTTATGAGGCAAGTAATGATATCATTTGGGAAGGATGTAAGTAAGTGGGGCTTCAAATATTTGAACTGTATGTGATTGCAATTTTTCCTGTTCTTCAACCAGGTTTTGATCTCTTTCTTGAAGGAGGAAACTATTAACAGAAGCATTAAGAGGTGTTGCAACTCTGCTGCCTAACAGGCAGCTGTTGTGTTGCCAGCTGCATATTTGTTGTGGTTGATGCTCATAGGAGAGTTGTTCTGCACAGAGGATCAGGAATATCATCCTGGACTAGGGAGAAAGTCCTTTGTAGACATGCAGCCAAGGATTGTGGCTACATACATTTTGTACCCAGAAAATGGGCAGTTGTCTACAACATGGAAGAATAAATCCAAAAGCACCAAGAAAACAGCCTTGCATTTCTGAAAAAAATATTGATCAAAAGACAAGCAGGTATTCTTTTTCAGTGTCCAGTAGGTACTAACGTTTTTCTTTTCTGTCACAGTTTATTTTGCAGGAGGTGGATATTACCTTTCCAGAGAACTCAGCGTGGTATGATAAATACAAATATGACATTCCTGTTTTTCATTTAAATGGGAAGTTCCTAATGAAGCATCAAGTAGACATTCAAAAGTTTGAGGACCAGCTTATGAAGCTGGAGTCGCAAAATGATGGAAACCAGTGAAGAAAATGCAGCTGCTCTGGTGTGGATCTGAAAGGACCGTGCAACATAAATTGTGTGAAAAAGCAGTATTCATTATCTGGCCTTATGTTGCTTAGAATGTATGGTACCAGCATCCTAAAAAACTTGAATGACTTGTATTCTATTTTGTATTCATCATCCAGCCCAGCTGCACCAGTAGCAACCTTTTCTGCACCATTCATTTGCTGCTATCCTAGGTTGACTTTTCATTGACAAGAATAAATGCTGCTCCATAACAGCAGATAAAGTGAAATGTGTTTCAAGATTGTTAGTATGTATAAGCTGTAGGTCTGTGAGAGACTTCCTTGAAGAAGTCTAAGAGTCTATCCTAAGTGCTCATTTGAAATGGAGAAGAGGGTATTTACTGTAAATGAAAAGGACACTTGATTAAAGACAGCACACTCTCACTGAACCAGAGTCATATCTATAGAACAATCATCACAATTTGATACAGCTGTTACTAACACATGAACACTGAATAGTTTATTTTTCTTCTAATGGGATGAACATATGTTGCACTTACGTCTATTTTATCTACTACAGCAAGGTTTGAGCTCCTTAGTATTTGGGTTACTCCCAGTCACAAGGAAAATAAAAATAGAGTGAACTATGATTGAGCCAAAAGAGCCAAATCTGTAATGAAAACAGCATTTATTAACTCCAAACATGTCTCTCTGAATGCTACTAATTTCAGAGTATAAAATGAAAGTAAGAAATCTTAAAAGTGTCTTCAAAAATTTCCTAGCCTAAGGTATGGGACTTCTCCCTTAGACTCCAGTTATGTTCTTAAAAAAATCCATGCTAATATATGGTCTTTTGCCCTGCTTAGGGTTGCTTGTGGCGTAATTCTCCATCATTACAAATCCAGTGAACAGAGAAAACATGTTTCTCTGATATTATGGAAACAGTGCTTGGTCCTATGGACTAGAGTTCTGTGGTAATTGAGTCCACTCGTTATGCTTTCTGACAGGAATCACATTTCAGTTCTGTCTGCAACACAACTGCAAATCCATTTATCATGTGGCAAGAATACCCTTTTGTCAAGGATTACTGCGGTTCTGTTAGTGCATCATTGGCAATGTAGGGATGTGAGGTAGACAGACAGAATGCCTAGGTTGAATATATTTTCAGGAGGAGGGGAAAGATAGATTAAGGAAAAGTCAACCATTTTAAGTTGAATGGTCTGTAATAAGCACTAGAGAAAGTTGTTGGTATTTTTTATCTACTTAATAGATTCTTTAACACAGAAACTAAACCCTACCTGCTGCATTTCTGTTCTTTTTACCATGGTGATATTCAGTCTTCTCTCATCACTAGGAATTTAAAGAGGGACACTTGGCAGATGTGTCTTCACAGCGGGGAGAATCCAGACACAACACCAAGTTAGAACAGCAAACTGAAATTCACTAGGATTCATTACGGCCTAGCTTTTGGAGTATGGTTCAATAAGAAGCCATCTGATCTGCTATGGTGAAAGTGGGCAGTTCCTATATGGCACCATCCTAGAATGTCTTCAGTGTTTCACAGACCGTTTGCAACCCAATTCTGATGTATTCTGCAAGATGAAAAATTTCTGGGCAGTGGGGGGTGAGAAATTAAAACTTTCTTCTAGTTCAGTAACTTGAGTCCACTCAGGAAGGGGTCTGAAAGTATCCAAGAGCACCCAGGAGGGAGAGCTGTGCCCTTTTTATAGCAGAGAGCTTTAGTTAAGTTCAGCCACATCATCTAACTATACCCTGCAATTTATAGGACTTCTGAAACTTCCATTTCATAGCACTTCACCCTCCTCAAGAGGTCTGCAGAAAGAGAATGGCATCAAACAGTATGGGTTTACTAGATTCGCAAAAACTAAAGTGAGGCGTAGAAGTTTAAGCATCTCGTTAAACCTATTTAAGACTTTTCATCAGCAATTCTGTAACTGTTTGATCCAAAACTGAAATTACAGCCAACTGTTGCTTCTAAAGGAAAACACTCATCCTGACTTTAAGTAACCAGTTTATTTTTTGTAGCCTTACTTTACCTTTAGATCCTGCTGCTTTGCCCTGATGTGGTCATTTACATTGTAGAGGAAGAGTAAGTTGAGGAGACTGTTAAAAAAAAAACAAGCTGAAACTTCTCAGGATTAAGTGACTGAACTTGAGTAACCCAGCCAAGTGTTAAGTATGATGCTTTCCCCAACATGAAGGAAAAAAAAAAAAAGGCAGAACTTGAAATAGCAAGATGCTTCTTGAATTGTATGTTGCAGCATAGTTTTGCCCTATGTACAGTGCTCTGTCACCATTGACAGAAGAACAGGACCCTAGAGACAAAAACTTCTATACTTTCTGCAGTTCATAATGCAATTAGTCAAGTGTACCACAAGTTACTGTTAAATAATAGGTCTGAATTATCTCTGTATCAGCAAGCAAGTGCCATTTGCTTTCCTTCTATAATCTGAGATGGTTTCAGAGGGCCCAGGTTTTTCCTTACTGAGGTTTTGTAATAAGAGAACTGGCATATAAGCATTTTTCAACCATAGTTCAAACGCTTTTCTAAAATACAGCATTATAATCTCAGATATGGAGGACAGAGGTCATGTGGACTTGCCCATTTCCCAATGTACATCACTGACAGAGGCTGGAATAGCCATCAGAGAGCAATTTGCCTTTGTTTTATTTTTAATAAGGTCTGTTTTGGGAAGAAAAAAATGGAAGCTAAAAGCAAACTTCTTAATCATATAGGAGATGATGAATCCCTTGTTCCTTATTCATTCAGACTGTGGAGGTTTTCTTCTGTAACCAGTGCCAGATTTTCTTCCCCCTTTATTTTGTACAGTGAATGATAACAGGATTTTTATAATAGCTTTTGTCTATGGCATAGCCTTTATCAGTGAGGTGGAGGTTTTCCATTAGTTCTGGCTGTGGGTGCTAGTTGCATATAATGTACAGAGAAGGGGTGGCTGCTTCTTCCCACTCTTCTTCTGGTGGGAAGAATACCTCCCTGCCATGGGCAGGGACATCTTCAACTAGATGAGGTTGCTCAGAGCCCCGTCCAACCTGACCTTGAATGTTTCCAGGGATGGGGCATCCACCACCTCTCTGGGCAACCTGTGCCACTCTTTCACCACCCTCAGCATAAAAAATCTCTTCCTTATATCTAGTCTAAATCTACCCTCCTTTAGTTTAAAGCCATTCCCCTTGTCCTGTTGCAACAGGCCCTGCTAAACAGTTTGCCGCCATCTTTTTTATAAGCCCCCTTGAAGTACTGATAGGCTGCAATAAGGTCTCCCCGAAGCCTTCTCTTCTCTAGGCTGAACAACCCCAACTCTCTCAGCCTTTCTTCATAGGTGAGGTGTTCCATCCTCCTGATCATTTTTGTGGCCCTCTTCTGGACCTGCTCCAACACGTCTGTGTCTTTCTCATGCTGAGGGCTCCAGAGCTAGACACAATACTCCAGGTGGGGTCTCACTTCTCATCTTCCTTGTCAACGCAAGTAGAAGACTCAGGTGTGTGAGAAAGGTCATTGTAGACTTAGGTGCAAGCAACGGGCCTGGACTCCAGGGTGAATGGTCTATGGTACGGAAAGATCACTGCCAGCCACTCCTCTCCAAACACCACCCTGTCCTTCCAAAGACAAAACATGGGATATAGTGCCAAAACCTTCCAGCAGGATCTGAGAAGATGCTACTGTTTTACCGTTTTAAGGGAGTGGAAGCCTTATTCTCATCAGTTTGGACACAATGATAGGAGGTGGAAACACGTCAATATGGAGTGTTGGTGGCACACCTCAAAGAAGGAGCTGTGCTAGAATTGTTTCCAGATAAAAGCACTGCAGTACAAGGTGATGAGCAAGAGGCTGACAGTTCATTTTGGACCATAGGTGCTACTGCAGGGTTCTCATTGCAAAATTAGGTTGTGTGAAGGTTGCTGAAGAGGTTATTCCCTTCTCTGTTACCTTCTCTGAGGAATACAAAATACTGAAGTAAAAACTCCAGGAGGCCACCTTCTCTTCTGAAGCCAGCAGCTCTGCTCAGTGGAATAATAAGGTTATCTTCACACGAAAACACTAAGAGTTCACATCTTCTAAGTAACAGATCAGAGAGAGAAGTGTTTCAGCATCATGTTCCATTTCTCTGCTGTTATCGGTCCTAAAAATAGTCATGTGAATTTGTGATCCCATAGGCAAAATAATTTATTAACCTCAACGGGACCAGAATTTTACCTCAAATAGTTAACTACTTTCCATTTCCTTTGATATGTGTGGAGACTGAACAATTGCTTGTGTGACTTAGCATGACTAGCACGTCTGCCACCGTCATTTTCCAAAAACAAGAAAGGATGTAGCATATGTAAATTTGAGGGTTTTTTCTTCTTTTTGAATATGATAAATGCAGCAGGCTCCCAGGACATGCATCTCTCTAATCAAATGTGTTAAAGTATAACCTTAAAACAAGAAGGCATAAGCCCCTGCTGAATATATATTTATGGAGGCATATGCAACTTTGTGGAAACGGACAATTTACTCTTTTGACAGTGAACATTGGCAGGAGCGCAAAGCTCCATAATGTACTATCCCTGTAATGTAAAAAGAGCTTGAATACAAGATGAACTTATTTCCTATTTCTGGCCAATTAAAAAGCACATACACAATGTCCTATCTTCTTCCAGTAACTATAAATAAAAAATACCCACCAGGCTTACTTGCTTATATGTTCTACTTCTCCGACTCTTTATTTGTGTCTTTAAATTACACACAGTACATAGAAGGGATTGTCTCATTTCTTTAAGCATAGCACTCCTAGCACAGTGCGGTCCCATCCAAACTGGCCTGTGATATATAACCTCAGGGTCCCGCCAAGCTACTTAAAGACAGCTCTTTCCATAAAGTATGGGTCTCATTTATATTGTCTTTTTTATCTCTCTTATTAGTATCTAACTCCCCAAAATAACAAAAAAAAATCTGTATGTAAGCTTAGCCAATTCTGAAAGTATTAAATTCTGTTTCAGTCGTGCATGCATTCATCTTTAAATCACATGGCCATCTGGATTAACGACGAGTGCAGCAACACGTGGAAGTAAACAAAGCCACATGTGCAAGTGTTTGCAAGATCACAGCTCATTTTTTTTGCTCAGTGACAGCATCACTTTCCAGTCAGCTTTGCTCCATGCTGTACCAATATCACGTCCGTTTTCTATCACGTCCTGCTGGCAAGAAGGCTCCATTCCATTCTTGTGAAGTTGCTGGACCTTGGATACCCAAACCTGAGTTCTTGCAGAGCAGGACCGGAGCTGGGAGATACACCTGAACAGGGAAGTTTCAGCAATTGGGGAACTCCAGCTGAATATTGACGTGTGCTGCCTTGGCAAAAGGCATGGTAAGAACAACAAAACCACCCTCTGTCCTCTACCCTCACCTCTCGTAGCATTTCAGTCA